CTTATGCACCTGCTTTGTCTTCAGTGACTGTATCGGGAAGGTGTTTCTCTTTCTTTCATTGATCATCTACTTCACCAAACTTATCGTTCTCCAGAGACTGGTCCCTCTTGATAAACTGTCCACAGTATTTGCAACGAAGTCTCACTAACCTCGCTTCTAAGAAATGTTTTGGCTTTATTTACCATAAACAGATTTGTTCTTTCTTCTGGTGGCCTATTGTATTATACTCAGTATTGTTTGCCAACACCATAATCGAAATGCATCACTTCTGTGGTTTTCTTTATTCATTGTCCAGCTTTTACATGCAAATGAAGAGATTGACAATGTCATGTCTTAGATCAGGCATACCTTAATCCTCAAAGTGACATCTTTGTTTTTGTAATACTTTAAAGAGGTTTTATTCTACAGATTTGTGTTTTGCCTTGGTACAGTATGTTGTCTCATTTCTTGACTGCTATTACCATGGGCATTGATTGTGTGTCCAAGTAAAACTTTAGGGCACCACCCCCCCATTTACCATGATAATTGGTTATTAACCTAGTTGTAAAGATTTTTGTTTCATGTTGAGGTGTAGCCTATTCTGAAAACTTTGATCTTCATCAGTAATTTCTTAAAATTATCTTCACTTTCAACAAATGACGTCATTTATATATAGATTACTAATGAATCCTTCAGTTCCATTTTCACATTTTCTCCATAGTCTACCGTCATAGATTATTGACTTGGTTTGCAGATTGAATAAATGTGGAGAAATCACACAACCCTGACCACACTGTTTTCTCTTGCTCTGTTCAAATGACTGCCCTTGTTCTTCGTACAGGTTGTACATGAGCACAATGAAGTGTTCTGTAGTCCTCAGCACAATGCTACCCAGTGATCTGCACAGTGAATACCTTTGCTTAGTCACTATCAGATAGGTGACATATTTCTTTCTGGTGTGTCTATTTTGAATCCAGATTCAATTTCTGAGGCAATTCTCTCTTGATTTGGTAGTATAACTGATGTGCTGCTGCACCTGTTTTGGAATTGTCTTTGGCCAAAATTTACTTGTGGGATATTAACGATATTGTGCAATAATTTCCTCATTTCATTGGGTCACTGTTTTGTTTGTTTTTTTGTTTTTTGTTTTTGTTTAATTAATCAATTTATTGGGGCTCATACAATTTATCACAATACATAGATCAATTGTGTAAAGCACATCTATACATTTGTTGCCCTCATCATTCCCAAAATTCTCTTGCCTCCTG